CGGGATTTGGCTGCTTCTGGCGACTTTATGATGAGCAGTAAAAACGGGACATAAGCGATGAGTAGTAAACGGGTCATTCAAAAAATATATATAGTTATATATAGTATATATTATGTATTTGGCTCTAGTGTATAGTATATAGACGTTCTTTGGATCATTTTTGGTGTTGGCGATAATTTTCAAAATCGCGCCAAGGCTGCACCGTATACTAGGATTTTACCAAAGTGACTTCAACAACAGTATTTGATATTACTTACTTATCAATTTATTAGAATTTTCTGTTTCTTTAGAAATAAACATTTCTGAATGCATGATTCGAAGCACTAGATAGTTAGTAGTTTGCCCAAAAATCTGGGGATTGGATTGAATTATTTAATTACGGCAAAGCACACAAGGGCTATCTGCCTAAAGGGAGGGATGACTTCGCAGAGGACTTTCTAAGGGAAACTGTTTCGTATACACGTTACACATGGGGTTGTGTGGTGTAGTGTGGTGTATTTAATTACGGCAAAGCACACGAGGGCTATCTGCCTAAGGGGAGAGATGCCTTCGTGGAGGACTTTCTAAGGGAAACTGGCTCGTATACACGTTACACATGGGGAAAACCACGAAAACGCCCATGCAGCCAGCCCGTTCGCGGGATTCGAACCTCGGACCGAACTACCAGTGTTCAGCGTCTTTACCGCTCGGCCGCTAGTGGGCCCCCCAAAAAATCTGGAGAGGAATCCCAAAAAATCTGAATAAATAAAACTAATTTGGCATTGCCAACTAATTGTAAATTCAGAGGAACGTTCACTGATAAAGATAATCATGACTCATTTTCAGCTCAAAGAAAGCCTTTTCAAATGCCATAAAGATAGTTTTAAAAAAACTCTTGTGGGAATTAACAGTAATGGGCCACACTGGATGTACGAGGTAGCAGCAAGACGAGTTTTGCTGAAAGGTTTTGTCTAACATAATTCAGAATAGCTCAAGAAAGAGCAAAAACGAAATTCATTATTTGTGTTTCATTCAATATGCTTGCATTGTTTTGTGATCCTGAACTCTCTCTATTGTGTCTAAAATAATGTAACAAAAAGAAGGTACTTTTCCGTTTCGCCGGCGCTAATCTCCCCAAGCAGACTTTATTGGTGACAACACACAGTATACACATAAAAATGTAGACAAATGTTAGTTCCAAGAAATTTTATTTTAATTTTTTATTTATATTTTTAATGTCGTTTAAAATTTTGTTAATGTTTAATATTAAAAATATTTTTAAAAAATTTATTAAAAAGTTTAAAATTTTTATATGTCAATAAATAAAGACAATAAATTTTTAAAAAGACAATTTAAGAATTTACTATGCTTCCATGGTAAAACATCCTGATTCGCCGGTTCATATCACGTGTCCCCAAGTGATTTCATCTCACGTAAACTACGCTACAAAAATCTAATTCTTTCAGTAATTATCTACATTAATTTAAAGTTAAATCTTAATTTGGAATAAAAGTTTAAATGCAAGAATTATTTCAATTCTTACGATTAGCTTTCTCAGAAATTATGTAAAACCGCAGTGCTTTACTTCGCTAGTGCATTCTCATTAGAACTGATGAATTTAACCCTTGACTTTGCTTTTTCTATATTTTCGCCATCGGGTGAGCTGTGTAATTGCATCCTAACTGACCTAGTTACTGCCCGCAAATGGCCTAGGGCATAAAATTGAACTATCTGGTAAAAATTCTATATAACTGTATGCCAGTCTTGAACGAAACAATCAATCTGATAAGAAATGGCTGCAACTTGTTTTGAAAATACTAAGACATAAAAGGTTACCAGCGAGGATATTCCTTTCGGCATCGGTTGTACCATTATTGGCGACTTTATAGCCTGCACCGGCAAAGCGGAAAAGTACCCAAAGGAATTCGAAAAGCCTAATTTTATCAGGTAACAGATTTGTATTTATCTTGGTAAGTGTCCGTAATACAGTTTGAAGAGACCGTAGAGAAGACATCTCTAGGCTAAGACGATAGGTTTGCCTTTCACTCTTGACCCTCCAATGAAGGCAGTTGGTAAAGACGTAGAGAACAAATAAGTTTAGATGCAAGAAAGTCTGAAAAAAAAAAAAAAAACTCCTTTACGAATTACTCCGAAGTTGAACACTGGACCTTAGAATAATCCAACTCGATGTGCCGGTCGTTTAACCACAAAAGAGCACAGAAATAATGCTTTATTTACTTAAAGTATGGAGGCCCACCAGCGGCCGAGCGGTAAAGTCGCTAAACATTGGTAGTTCGGTCCGAGGTTCGAATCCCGCGAACGGGCTGGCTGCATGGTCTTTTTCGTGGTTTTCCCCATGTGTAACGTGTATACGAGCCAGTTTCCCTTAGAAAGTCCTCCACGAAGGCATTCCTCCTCTTAGGCAGATAGCCCTCGAGGCTTTGCCATAATCACACACACACAATACTTAAAGTATGGTTTGGCTTATTTGATTGCAACAAAGCACCTCGAGGCATAAAATTGAACTTCGTGAAGCACTTTCTAAGGGAAAATGTCTGGTATACAAGTTGCAAATGGGAAAAACCACGAAAATGCCCATACAGCAATCCCGTTCTCGGGATTTGAACCTGACCGAACTACCAGTGTTCAGCGACTTAGGCAGCTGGTGGGCCAGTTAATTATTGAAAGAACCATATACATTGTTAGAATAGTTACAGGATTTGAGTTACTAATATTAGTGATTTCATACATCGCAATCAGGAAAGATATTTATGCCTAAATTATACTTTCTTGATTTGTTTAGAAAATGGGTCATTTTATTTGTTGTATACAGAAAACAATGATATTGTGCGTCAATCACCAACGCAGCCACCTAGCTTTAACAATACTCAAAAGCGAAATAAAACTGCCTCTCACTATTTATGTTTATACCCTTTCTGTTCTTCTTTTGGCTTCCTGTCATTTTCGAGGACAATGTTCACGTAAAATGTCATTTTCACCAACTCGCGCTGGATATGAAGGAGACATTAATTTGCAAGGCTTGTAGTTTGAATAAACTTGTCATTATAGAGCGGAAATATAGTTGTCAGAAAGCCGCAAGTATCTTATGGATGTTTTATTTAAGTGATGCAATTGTTTGTGGAAATTTAAGACAATAACCTGTCTTTATTACTTTGTTAAATCAGAACAGGTAATAGTTATTAATATATTTGTATTCCAAGTGTAAAATAATATAATTAAACTTATATATGTTAGGGTGAAACACCGAAATCTGGAGAATATTGACTTTCACCGGTGAATGTTAACATTCACATAGTCGCCTGGTGTATGTCCGAAATATTTTCCAAATACTCTTATTTCTGACTTACCCCGGTCAATGTCAACATTCACCATGTACTATATAGTATATATATATCGTGTGATACATATATGTTACGGTGAAACACCGAAATTTGGTGAATGTAGGTCAACATTCACATAGTCGCTTGCTGTATGTCCGAAATATTTTCCAAATACTCTTATTTCTGACTTACACAGGTCAATGTCGACATTCATCATGTACTAATGGTGAATGTTGAACATATAAGAATATTACATTTTCTTCTCTGTAATTAAGTCGCGATAAAATGCACTTGAGACTTTAAATAAGAACTTATGAACGTAATAACTTAAAACACAGTACATTCAAAATTAGAAAGGAAAATAATAGGAGTTAAAAACTTGCTTAACTATACAATACGTTCTAAATGAGAAAATAGGATAATAGTAATAAAAAACTTACTAAATTATGTGATTCAAATCTTATTTATTGCAACAACTTAAACTATTATGACACTTTGTGACTTCTCTTTTTGACGTACACCAGAGCATATCTGTGATTGTCGAAGTACACCGGTGAGGTCCGAATGTACAAGAATGTAATGCAATATTCGATCTTTCACCGACGTATTTGGTGAATGTCGACATTCTCCGGTGAAAGTCGACATTCTCCAATTTCGGTCTTACACGGTAACATATACACTCGATGTGCCCAAAAGAAATTGTGTGCTTTGTGACTTTAATGACTATTTTCCACAAAAAATCTGAATACTTATTTAGTCTGTGATCTGTAATTAAAACAAATCTGATATGATATATGACACGTCATTTTTAAGCAATTCTAGTTGCATGTTGTCGAGGAAAAAATCAACTTACAGAATTACGCTTTAAAGGGTAAGACTTTAAAGGCTACTAATTCTATTTAAGTCAAATCATACATTTCACTTAAATAGAATTAGTAGTTATTAGCATTAAATTCAATTCATTGTGATGATTACTGTGATTGCTTTAAAAGAAACTACGTGAATGAAAGTTTGGCACGTAGAACGAGATGAACAAATTAAGAATCATTTAGAAAAGGGCGTTATGAACAAAATCGCTAATTAGCGTTTTTACATATGATTGCTTGTGATGATGAGAGACATCATTATAACTTTCTATCAATAGATCGCTAAAAACGCCGAGTTAAAAGAGATATACACGGTTTATCAATACGTTATTCAGCTTTTGCGTCATTGCTCAAACAACGTCCTTTTAACTACGCCAAACATCTCGCCCATTCTTGGTAAAATGTTACAGGTACAAGCAGCAAGCCCATTTACCCACCGATATTCTTAATCAGTAACTTTCTCTGTAAACGAGGTTTCCTAACCCACTTTTGCTCACGAGTAAACCAGTTTTGGGTCTTGTTTCAAAATCGACGGAAAGAGTGAAATAGCACTTTCCTTTATTTTCACGTCTTCCTGATATTGTTTGAAGTAACAGTCATCACATACTTAAGACCGACACGGCACAGGAAATGACTGGTCCTTCTAGATCATTTGACTAACTGGTTTTCCTTTCTGATCGTCGCCAGCGAAAACCTTGAAAAATTAAGACACACCCTTGCTCACATGCCGCACGTGACGCATTAAAAGGTAACATGTGACGTCATTTAGCTTGTTGGGAAAAATAAAACCGGTATATATTAGAAGATTCCAAAAGACTGAGTATAGTGGATATTCCAATCAAAGCGGGTAAAGATGTTCGTGATGTTTATTCTGGCCGTTGCGCTCAGTGTTCTTGCGGGATGTCATGCAAACTCTTACAGAATGGGTGGTTGTCCCCGAGTCACAGTTATGAAGTCCTTGGATTTCGACAGAGTAAGTACCTAATCGTTTGATTATAAATTTGGTAGGCTGGGAAAAAAAAAAAAACTATCTCGAAGGTTTTAGATTTTAACGAACGCCCAAAAGGACATTAAGTCTTTTTGCGCTCTAGTTGAGCTCGCAATCTACAAGTCTATTGTTGCATTCACTTCTGTTAACCCATTTCTTTTTGTCTTTTTAGCTTTATTACTAAGCATCCTTTTCTTTTTGCTTACGCCATATAAAGTTCAATAGCAGAATCACAAAAAATAAAAAATCTGATCTGTACACCACATGACTTCCTTGTACGGAATATTAAATTATACGCATTTTTTCTTGCATTTCATTTAAACTTACTAGATTGAATTAAACCTACTTCGCGGACAGCGCATAAACCACAATAGAATAAATGCATTCTTTAAAATACATTTTGTTTAAGATAGCGAAACTCTGGCGCTAGGTTTACTTAACAGTATTATATTTCGTTCATATTATAACTCAGAATGCACAAAATCTACGTTTAAAATTATCTAATCGTGCCACAGTTCTATTCAAACTATAACAAGCTAGAACGATGTATAAAGAAATTAAGCAAACAAAAAAAAAAAAAAAAAAAAAAAAAATCTGAAATGTTTCAGATTTTAAATTACGTCCAAAGGGCGTTTTTTAACATTTTGTGTGTTACCTTTCTTTATTAAATATCATGTTCCTCGCACTTAAACCATAAGATCCAGTGCAACAGCAATATCGCAAAATAGTTTTAAAACGAGCATATCTTTAGAATTTCCGATACAGAGACTCACGCGCTGGAGATAAAAATGTTTTTTCTGCACAACGTTGCCATTGCTCGCTTTGAAATCCTTGAGTTTGTTAATCAAAAATTCGTCAAAGTTTTAAAAAATAGGAAATCGATCATAAAACAAATTTCAAATTTCAAATTTGGTCTTCCACATGCTCATATTCGTTGGAGGATTACGTTATTCAAAATTCGATGACTCTATGTACCGTTGTTTTATCACAATACGAGAAATATACATACATTTATGCAGATTTTTCATTATTTAATTTCTTCAAATATAATGCAGGACTCTAACATTTTGTGGCAACAGTTTGAAAAGTGAACCGACATTTATGAGTCCGACGCAAAATGCCAAAACGAAACTAATAGTCCTTCGGGAATCAAATCCCTTCAAACTAAAAAAAAAAAAAAAAAAAAAAAAAAAGGAACAGTTTTTCACAGACAATTGAGTATTTCTCATTCAATTAATTCAGTTTTCACTTCGCGACATGGCAAAAATACATAAAAACTCAAAATATCTGTATTAAAAATTACGAAGTAAATCTTAAACGTTTATTTCCTCGAAAACATTCCAGAAAGGATTAAGGATGATTTAAATAATAAATGAAGGCGTTATCTTTGTTGTTGCGAAGCTAAGTTGCTCTAGATTGTCAACAAATCCGCTATCCTGCTGTTTCAAATGTAAACAAGAGCATTGGCCGCCATCAAAAACATTATTAGGCTTAGCGGCAATTAAACAATTTTAAAATTGTATTCTAAAAATATTGCATACAGATTTACTAAAGGCATAAAAACATTAACCGGAAGATAAGAACAACATAATTCAAGCATTTTTAAAGCAAAAAATGTACAATTTACAAACATATAAGAGTAAAGAGACTGAGATCACTGAGCCGGGTAAACAGAGTGGATATATGTATAAATATATTATATACGTTTGGTGCGGCCGATTGCAACCAAAATACGAGGTGCACATCTACATGTTATAGCAGTCCTATATACAAAATTTCCACGTTCTGAGGCTACTCGTTTTTGAGTTATGCGAGGTACGTACGTACGTACATACGTTCGTAGAGACGCCACGAAAAATTCTGTTCAGAATTCATTTTAAAGACGTTTTATAATTTTTTTGGAGGAAAAGAGTGTTTTATTCTGTCCTTACGTACAGATATAACGGAAATACATCGTTAAATTGCATTTGAAAAAGGTCAAAATGGGATATTTTTGTTGAAATATGCTGCCTGAAACTTTTCGCGATTACAATACTTCCTTTTTACTTCGTACAGGGAAGTACAAAGCAGCATATGTTTAGAATTCCAGATACGGGTTGGCGTACATTTTTCCTTTTCGTACGTACATTTTCTTGGCGTACGTACGTTAAATGTTGGCGTACATTTTGCATTTTTTGAATCTTTTCTCAGTTCATCACATCAATGTTCGGTTTTCATAGTAAGACAGCTTGAAAAACCTTTTTTTTTGTCTCTTTATTTTTAATGTTTCATTTTTTGAATTATTTATTAAAATATCCCTTTCTTCGCAATTTCGCCACACAATATTCAGCTGAAAAACAAACTAAAAAAGTATTTATAAAAAAGCCATATCTTTAGAATTCCCGAAAGACAGTTTCGCGATCGGAAGACAAAAATGCTCTAATCCGTACAGTGTTGTCACTACTTGTTTTCAAATCGTTGAAATTTTAATAAATATATCATTAAAGTTTTACAAAATAAAACATAAATTTGAAATTCGAAATTCCATGCGCACGTGTTCGGTTGGAGACAGCATTATTCAGAATGCAATTGCTCTACGTACCGTCGTTTTATCATCACAATGCGAGAAACACATAATTCGCGCAAATTCTTCATTATTTAATTTCTTTAAATAATACAAGGCGATAATATTGGTGGCAACAATGACGCCGTTTATTAGTGAACCGACGCAAAAACTGTTCGTGAACTACTAGCCTTAAAAAGATATTACTATGTTTACGGAAGCATCTAGTTTCATGATTCCTGAACCATAGTAAGGATGCATATTAGTCAAAGCTACCACAAAATATGCTCAATAAAATTTAACACAGTGCTTGTAATATTATAAATTTGGATGATAGATGTTTCTATGGCAATAAAGCACGATATATTTTTCTATTTCATTAGTATTTGTGTTTATGTTCCTAGCATTATGCGATATATAATAAGCAGGCTTATGTATACTTGTTAAAATGAGAATTCGCCTCGGCTCTTAAATATGATATTTATTACAAAACGAAATATAATATTAATATACATTTTTTTTTTCCAAACAACATTACTTAATGTCTTATTAATATAGAGATTCAAAAAAATCATGTGAGTGTTACCTGTAACATAATGTTTCTTGAAATTAATTAAATTTTAAATCCCGCAAATACTTTCATAACCTTTAACACATTCATTTTTGTTTTGTTTGATATGTGGTATTAGAATTCTTGTCACCTTTAATCCAAAAGGGATTTTAGCTTCGAATGGTATATTAATCTCGAAACGGTAGTTTGCGTTGTATCACTTTTCAATTTTTTTCCACCAAATATTATCGCTCTGTATATATTTAAAGAAATTAAATAATGAAGAATCTGCATGAATGACTTGTTCTCGGAATATATCATAAAAGATGGCACACAGAGCCATTAATTCTGAATAGCATAGTCCTACACCCGAACATTGCACATAAAAGCCCGAATTGTGAATTTTAGGTTTCATATTTTAAATAATTAAAAAAAGTCACTAATTTAAAGCGAGAAATGGCAACACTGTACGGAATCAAAATATTTATCTCCTGAGCAGACTGTCTATCGGCAGTCTAAAGATAGTGTTTTAAATATTTTGTGTGATTTTTCTGTCAATAGAATTATCGTGAAAACGGGATATTTAATTAATAAATTAACCACAATATTAATATAAAAATACAAACAAAAAATGATTTACAAACCATCTCACTGAGAAAATCATACGTGGATATGATATACTGAAAAAAAGACTGAAAAAATAGAAAAATATATCCCAACATTTTAATACTTCATTGGGAATTCTAAACACTTGCTGTTGTTAAAATGTTTGTAATTATGCTGTTGAATTGTACATGGCTAAGAGCGAAAAAAATGATGTTTAACAATAAAGCTAAAAAGGCAAAAAGAAATGGGTTAGCAGAAGTGATTGCAACAGCAGACTGGTAGACAGCGAGTTCAGAAAGAGCGTATAAAAACCTTAACAAACCCTTTAAGGCGACCATTAAAATCGGAGCGCTATCAGTTTTTATTTTTTTATCTCACTTTTTTTATATAATTAAAATTATAACCTATGCATTCTTCACAGGTAAAATTAATCTTGCTTAGATACTCCTTCTATTTCTGAAGTGCAAGGAGTTTTATTTCCTGAAAATGACTTTTAAATTTATATATGATTTTTTACTCAGAGCATATATAAATTTATATTTTTTTTTACTCATATATTAAAAATATATATGAGTTTTTTACTCAGAGTACTATATACTTGAGTATCATATAAAATTTTATATACTCAAGTATATATATATGAACTCGTATAAATTTAAAAATAGTTTTTAAATTTATCTACGCCTGAGAAATGAACTCATACGAATTTCGATTCATATTTTAGCAATTTGGTAATTTTAACTAAATTTCTGCTGTTTACTATTTTGATTATTGAGCGTATAATATATGCGTTTTTCTGCAACAATATAGAAATGAAAATTCTCCACAGCTGAAGCGAAATATCATCGCATTTTTTATAGCAGTTTAAAGGTTTGCTGTGTTGTAATGAAAGTTACATTATTAAGATTAAGATTTTCTTTTGTCAACATACCTTCAGAAAGGAAAATATGTCTTAACAATTAATGAAGTTTTTTCCTTTTTGTAACAATTGATCTCAATAATTAAAAAAAAAAACTTATTTCTTACATCCTCTTGAATTCTACATAATATTGTTGGGTACTTTGGTATTATCGTAACAACTTTCGAAGAAGTCGCCAAATTTTCAGAAGTTGCAACACTGTGGCAATTTTTCAGGCACCCATATCGATAGCTGCAAGTCTGAATAAGCAACGTCGCCATTTTTGGGCATGCTTTTTAGTTTTTTAAGATGCTCTAAAGGCAAATTGCAGTATTTTTGGTCTTCAGCTGAATTTTGAAATATGAGCTTGTGGGTTTAGCCAAAGAGAG